CATCAATTCCTCGCTTAGAAATTAACGCGTCTCTTAAACGTTTTTTTTTAAATGTAATTTATTATATGTAAGTGTAAGGTTTTACTTGTCATGGCGGAAACAACCTTATCAGGTATTTTGTCCAAAAAATCTGTGTGGCCAAGGAGAAACCTGAAAAGGAAACGCGTTAGGATCCACTTCGTACACATTTTACGAATGCATTGCATCCAATACATTCAGAGAGTCATGAATAGAATCGGATGGCAAATTTGTTTTCATCCACTTGTTAGCTATATACGGGTCCTATCCTCAGAATCCACGAACCTGCGTCATAGGAGAACCTCATGCCGGTTAGTTGCGAGGCAACATAAATCGTCATCAGGTGACGGATAGGAGGTTATTCGTGGACTTAAACCGATCTTATGCTTGTCTGAGACGCAAATGGATCCAGGATATGAAGTTTCTTTTTCTGCAGCGTCGATTTGGCTTACACCTCTGTTTGCGAGGGCATATTTATGTTTCCTTACGCGGTGATGTTCTCGTTCATGCGGATTGCCTTCTATGGGCCAATTTGGTGAAAAGACTACAATCAGATGACAGAAAATTATAGGAGAGGCAGTTAAGGGTCTGCTGTAACATTTCATCTGAGTACTCGATAGAGGACTTGATCATGCAAGCAAAAAGGATGAGGTAGGACGTTATCGAACAGGGTAAGATGAGAAGATGCCACTCATTCAACGCCACCTATGACACTGCTGAAGAATTGTTCTTCGGAACATTCGACAGTAGAGGAATCGGCGTTCTCATCAGCATGGGTTTGGCCATGATCATTAATTCATTTGAGCAACTAACAACCTAAATCGGACAATTACGGTTGAAGAGGTGTTGACCATTACCAGATGTGACAGTCTTCGTCGTCTACTCACCGATATCAATCTATGACGAAGATAAAGGCGAAACGTTCCCAATCGAGTTGGAGAACTTCTACGGGCAAGACCATACATTCATTAACGTCATCAGTGGAGATTTTAATGCTAAGATTTGAGCCAGAAGAACGTCGCATTGGGACCCACCGATTGGAGTGGAACGAGTAGGGTGAGCGGCTGTCGCAGTTCATCATGACGACCTAGCCTATTCGTGGTAATTCGCAATTCCTGAAGCTCCACCCTCAGCACTGGACATGGAGGTCATCTTCCAATGGAGGGTATCCTAGCGAAATACACCATATCATAGTAAAATCGAAGGTTTTGCCTTACCGATGTCGCTGTTGTCCCAAAATTATACACAGGATCACACCATCGAGTCCGTACAAGATTTAATTTCTCGCAGAAAAGAGAGAAACCTGATAAGTGCGAAAAATGAACTCCTATGGTAACCGTACGTTGAGACTTATACAGTTCATCAGTGAGCTGTTAGATACGTGCCGTTCTTGATTACGTCGACGAGGAATACGATCGACTTGTTCGGTATCTTAACGCTAGGGATATATAACTTGGTAAATCGAAAGTCTCCAAGAAATCTACTTCCAGTAACACTGAAGCTCATACGCCAACGTAGAATCGCACGTGCGGCAGACAAGCGTTACCATATGTCGGAACTTGCAAAACAATGCAGAAAGGCGCGAAAATAAGATTTCAACGAGAAAACAGCAGCAGTTATGGCTGGAGCAGCAGAGACTGGGAAGATTCGCAAGGTCTACAGAAACTTCGTCAATTACAAAACCGAAATGGTTGCAGATCGACGTCCAGACCAACAGTTACAGCTTCCAGAAAAACTGGAGAAAATCACTCATTGTTACTACTCGGATCTCTTCAGTGGTCACGTCCTACTTCCCTCATATGAAATAAAAGGATCAATATATCGTTCCACCGGTTTATCGTTCCCTAATCTGAGATAATATTTCTTTGGTAAAGGATCGAACAGCACCAGGTCGGAGCAGAATAAGAACCGAACACTTAATGAACTTTACACCAATCCTCATCAACACACTGGCTGAACTGCTAACACATTGCCTGTCAGGATGCATGGTTCCTAATCATTGAAAGGTCAGCATTACCGTGCTATTGTTCAAGGAGGGTGATTTCCACGATGTGGGCAGCCATCTCTCAATCTATTTGCTGTCTGTCATCTACAGTCTCTCGAGTCGAGTCATACTATACAGGAGTGATAGAGCACTGGACGAAGTACAGCCATGTGAGCATGGATGGTTTCGAAAATGCTTCAGTACGATAGACCACATCCACGTAATAACAAGATTCATTGAAGTGTGGCGATAGTACAAGAGATACGTTTGTCTCATTCTTCGATTTAAAAAAGGGTTCTGACTTTATTAAATATAAGTAGTTGTGGAAGTCTTGAGCAGCCAGGGCGTCTCTACTCAGTATATAAAGGCTATTTGTGAGCTATATAAAAATTTTGGATCAAAAATGTCACCATCTTTCAATAATATTAACATCTACGTCAAAATATGAATTTGGCTGGGGGTACCATCTCGGCAAAATTTTTACTGCCACCCTTGAACCGCTGTGTGAACACAGACAAAACGGGAGTATAAATCGACGGTCAGCAATAACACCATCTTCTCATTGTCGACGGCATGGTTTTTATAACACTAAACATTAGCCAACTGGAACGAATGCTTGCCGACATTGATAACGCCTCTAGAAAGAGTGGTCTTCGACTAAATCTCACAGAAACAAGGTTTATGAAAAACGGATTGGTTTCGTATGGGCTATTTACGCTCAATGGAAGGAATATCTTCGAGTGCTCCAGTTACTTCTGTCTCATTCGGGAGGTCAACGTGATTAGAAACCTGGTCTCCAGGTAAAGAGGATCCACGAACACTCGGCCTTTTAAAACACGCAGTCGAAGGACGTTGCTAGGAGTCTCCTGTACCACGCAAGTGGGAGACGGGATCATAAGCTCCGATCTACGTCATCGATCAGAAGTCAAGGATGCCGTTTTATATGCCAAGTCGTCGAAAGTAAGTCGGGCATGGCACATAATGCGTGTTAATAACAACGGATTGACAGAATCCGTCAGGGATATATATCCCTCGGTATATCAAACGTGACAATGTCAAATGTCCTCCCAATAGTTTAACTCCTCATCGTGGCTGAGAAGATTTTCTTGGGTGTGGAGATGCGATGTACAACGGGGGATTCATCCACTAGGCGGGTCTCCCAAACTGAGAAGGAGTCCGGCGGCGAAGCCTAGCTAAGAGTGAACCAATACCAGGATCCACCACCGTCCTGGTATCAAGCTAGTCGCGTGGTGGCAATTCTTCCTCTGATCCACAAAGTCGGCGACTACCTGTGGAGGTAACAACCTGGAGCAGACTTTGACCAGGTTGACCTCTGGACTGCAGGAAAACACCTTGGTTAAACCAGCAGAACTCCGAAAAATAGAGATTATGCTGGGGCCCACACAATCGGTGTGGACGGGCCGTCCAAGTATCCAAATAAGTATATCAGACGTACTGCTAGAAGACCACCAACACCAGTCCACTGGTTAAAGTTTTTCACGAAAACTCTAAAAGAAATATGATGCTCAACGAGTCTCTAGAGCGAACAGAATCCACTGGGCTACTTTTGCACGCGACAGGGAGAAATGGAAAGTTTACTGGCACTTCGTTGAAGCACTTGGTGGTCAACGGGACCACGGGTGATAGAGGTGATCCTCATAATTCGTGAACATCTCTGTGTCGTTTATGTTTAAACATATTACGATTGGTCATATATTTCAGTAACGTAGTGTTCATTGTTTATTTCTCTGAAGTTAGTCTTCTCTTTAAGTTGAAGGAGTATTATTTTAATTCCATTTCTTGTTTTGAAGTGATTGGTCTAAATTCAGTTCATGTTCAACATTTCTTTGTACTTTTATTACTTAGCGTATATATTGAGTACTTTTTAAGATATCACATGGATTATAATATCGTACTGGGCTAAAATGAAATACTCCATGTTCATCCAGTTATACACTTTACATTTGCATATCCACTTAGTTATGTAGTAAATTAAGTGGACCAATAGTCTAACTGTTTCCCTCTTCTTGCACCAAAACTGTTCAGTTAGTACCGCTTAGTCGAGAGGCACGAATAACACACATCTCATTAATGTTATGCTCTTTTTTCAAATCATGACGTAGCCACGGGCGCCTCATAAGTTTTGCACTTGCGTCTTAGGATTACTCCTGAGCTGAAATGAGCTTCCGGATGATATTATCGAATTCTTTTAGTGTTTATGAAAGTTTGTTGTGATTTAAACCCAACTGTACACCGCAGTTCCACAGAAAAAAAGTACGCCGCAATCGCTGTGAGGCAGTGAACAATCACGTTTACATAACCGGTGGAAATCTCTTCACTTATCAGTTGTTACTTATTTGCTGTTTATTATTATTTGTTAGGGGCCTGTAACAAAGTGATAGTGACACCATTCATTATAGTAGTGGCCCAATCTACCATGATCCTGGTGGATCCTGCGCCGGACGCACCAAGCCTCACATTTTTCATTTTCAAATTTGGTTTGGGGTTGGGATATTGGTGCCAGACTTGTCTGGGACAACCTTACTTTCAGTAATCTATATAGAATCCCCGTAGCACTATTATCTCGGATTTTTAAAAAAGATTTCATTTTTATTGACTCGACCACCATTCAACGATATTCCTGACCAAGCCGAAAAATTCCTTAGGCAACAACCTAAGGGACACGCAAAAAGGTTTCAAGATCTTCGTGGATGACAGATTCGAGGAAACGAATGGAGTGAAGCAAGTGCTGCGAACCGCATATACGTGTGGTGTCGCTTCACGTAATAATGTTAATAACCGTTGTTTTTTATAGTAGTGGCAACTACTGACCTCAGTGTTATTTTCGATGCATTTTCGTAATTCCGTGTCAAGAATGGGGTTTGGAAAACTTACCGAAAGTCGTCTGTGAAGCTACAGATGTGAGCAGAAATATGTCTCTTATTTACGAATTTCATGGCTTGTATGAAGCATATGTCCAGCATTTAGAACGATACAGATGACCAACTACAACTCAATTTTCTTGGTGATTGTCCTTTTATGGCATTATTCCTCATCAGAACTTAGTTCCGAAAACGTCGACGCCCCTTCGAGGTGTGAATCGTGTGCCATTTTCGCTAGAGATCTGCAGGCCTCCGTTGACCGAACAATTCATGTAAGTTCTGCTGCTAAAGAATTTAAGGACTATAACGTATTGTAATAAACACTCTTTTATAGAGGTCTGAAAGTTCTTTTATTGAGTTGATGGAAACATTCTGCGCCTCCATGATAAAATACAAGGTTTGCAAGTTACATCCTGCTATTATTAGCATATTAAGCCACCCTGTTTTCCATGTTGTTGATCAATGGCTTTTAGGTTCACAAAGGTCGCACTGGCTTGTCACGGTTTTGTACTGAGGAAAGTGATACGATGAAAGCATTGAAAGATCTGAAGAACAAAGGAGTAGAGGTAATCATTCATACTGTCGTGCTGTTTTTGCAGCTTCTTGTTTGGTAAAAGTGATTTTCTAGAGGATTCTAGAGAGTTATTTCTTCTATTGTTTTCTTTTTTCTTACCGTCAGTGGTTTTCTGGGCATAGATAACTAATTGGCACAGATCAATGGTACGCGCAACGACTTGGTTCGAGTCCAGTTCAAGTCAAAGCAAGCTTTCCATCACCCCGAAGTCGGGAAATTCGTAGCAAACTTTTCTAGAAAGTCAACTCCGATTTACAAAGCTGATGGTTAGCTTCCGATGATGATATGGGAACACCCTAGCACAGCAATCCCAGAATTCCACGAAGAGTAGCCTATCGTTTAACGACATTCTTAAAGAATTTACCAAAAATAATCAAGCACCAGCCAAACTCATCCCCAAAGTTGGATGATTTAGAGGAATCGAACCGAATGAACGTGGCGGCGTCCGGGCAACATGTGATATAAGACATACGAAAAAAATAAAATACATTTTGAATTTTGAATTTGATGTGGATCTCTTTATTTGGTTAAAAATAGACGTCGTAACTAATATGAATAGTAGCCTACAACGTACTCTTTTCACTATGTTATTTATCTATGCGCTCTACCTATTTGAACGTGTTAGCTGTGGAGCTATTTATCCTTGTTTTAGCTCTCTTGCAACGCTCCCAAAATTCGCACTCGATCTGGTTCCAAGTGGTTTGACTCTCCTGTCTAGTATTATTATGTTATAATGGTCTTCTCGCGCCTCTATTCTGCTGAACCTGTTTCACTATTCGACCACATTGCGCCTCTGTCCTTTGTGAACTACCTTTATGGCCTCTTTCCGCTTCAACTGTCGCAAATGTTGTTTTTTTGGGCGGTCAATTATAGTATGGTGCAATTTACGCGCTGTGTCGAATTTACCGTATTCGCTTCAGCGGACATGGTACACTATTCATATGGCGTATGTAATTACTGTAGAACACTGTACGTGACATAAAACTACTTCTGTAATGAATGTTCTAGGTGAATCTTGGAATGCCTTATGAGATGTGGCAACTTCCATCTGCAGAGATCACTGTTTTAAAACAAGACTGTGAACGTATTCTAGCTCTGCATGAGGACTTCCTGGAGGAATGGTTTTTAACGAAATCCAACGACCCACTTGAAGTGAGAATTGATATGTTATGATTTATTAGGCAAAATGATTATTTACTTTTTCTTATTCTGTTCTTTTCGAACTACTCATCTGCTTGAGTTTGTCAAAGTTGCGAGTGAGTTAGTTTTTATGCCGTTAATTTCGTAGGTGTTACTTTGTCGGCGGCGATTTCTGCGCACTGATGAGGATGACTGTCTATTCAATGAATATCCAAACCACGATCTCTAAATAGATAAATACATAATTTCAATTGATTTCTGTGAACCTTGAACATAAATTTACATAACTAAGAATGCCATAGATTGCTTTTGAATCTCCATTTGCAAAATGTATCGATTTTGTTTTGTACGTTAATAATGGTTGGATTCATCTTATACTTCATTATGATTAATGTTCCCTTTTATTCACTATATCCATAACTAAAAGGGTGCATGTAGCACAGTGGTTAGAGGTGTCTTGCAATACACATGGGTTCGATCTAGCGCCCAAGCTCACCAAGCTCTCAGTCCACCGGGGGTCGGAAAGTTGATACCTGTCTGGGAGGATACCAGCACTGGCGCAATACATCGATAGGCCACCGCGAGTCTTTGTAAAGGACAGATATGCCTCTAGTAACATCTAAGTATGCTTGCTTAGATCGACTGCATGCTGAATCCCCCAAGGATTGATCAACGCCGAAAGATTTATGCTTTTTTAATCCTTAGCTAAGAATCCTTTGGCTAATGTGCAAACTGTTTATGGTCACTGTTCGCGCGTTTTCTGCTTTCAGATATGCTCCCCATTCCTGTGACGTTGAAATAATAGTAATATTGTCTGCAGTGTAAATAAGTGTACTGACTCGCCTACTTGGTGGCATCTCATGACACTATGCACGCCAAATTTACAATCACTACCTGAGTTCTGAAATCAGCCACAATTTCTGCGGAAATTTCTGGGCAAGAATTTAACGGCATGGACTTTTTTCACTAATTTCATTTTACGTTAGTATTACTGGAAACTCGGAAATCTTACTATTATAGGCATGGGCTTTCTTTTTATAGATAGCATGCTTACGATTCAGCTGATCCTTGAATATCGATGCTAGCGAGTTGGTTTCAATTGTACACTATTTAGCATCTTTAATCATCACTTTCCCTAAATATTGTTCAATGGTGTACTGTGATTTTTCGGCTGATGAAGAACTTGTTGGTCTTTGGGTGTCTGTTGGGTTTCATTCGTTCATGGCGTTGCTCAAAGCAGTTTATGAGAGTGTAAACAGCGGAGTTATCTCTCCGTTGGGCTGCCTGGATGTTTTGGTTCATGGCTACGGTGCGTGTTATGTTTGTGCGCGAGAGAAGCGATTATTATGTCACGAAACGCGCTTAGCTATTCTATTGGTATTACACATTAGCCATGACGACGGCTAGCCTGTTTGCCAACCACTATTCTCCATGTCTCAAACGCATGCCTGTTACAGTGTGAAATATCCACTGTCCAGTACCAACGATGGTTGAACAAAAACATATCTGCGAATAACGTGCAAATTCGGAAGCTTTATATTAGTAAAAATTAGGCCATGCTTAGTTTTAAAAAAGGTTCTGTACAGCTACACATCAGCTGAGGTAGGTGTTATATTAAATACCGAAAAACCCTCATCATTCGAAATAACTAAATATCAATTCCGTACACCGGTTTATGAAAAAGAAATCCTTGACAAATTGATTTGTCGACATACCTCTGTGAAGGAAAGAATGTTGTGGATTTAAGCAATGTTCATGGTTAAGCAAATGATACAAATTTAGGAGAGGTTAACGAGAATACCCTGTGGCTTTTGCCATCGTAGATTGTTATAACTTCAAAATCGGTTAACTGAGGAAATAATGATATGAGGGTACGTGGGTGGCGAGATTCAAAAGAAAATGTCATTTTGGATTCGACAACTAATGGCAGCAAAAGTCATGAAACTGTCATATGTATAGATTTTTCGAACTGCTAAACAAATGCACTTTTTTTTCAGCTCCATAGGAGTCTAATAATAATAATCAATCTCATTGTGTTATATGAGGAAACCAGTTGATGATGCAACATTGGCAAAAGATAAGGAAAAGCTAAGTGGCCGTAGTATGAAAGCAATGAGAGGAATTTAAAATTTGCTAACTTGAACTGAATGAAGCTCATTTACAAAGGTTGTCCACCCAATGAAGGTAGCATAGGAAGGAGACCTGCAGCAGCAAGCCCACCCGGGCCTAACAATGCTGTGTATCTTTTCCAAACCATATCCATATTCGTCATGTTGGCAGTTACCCTGCAAATTGATTGTTTTCTACACTAAATTTGCGTTTAAAATGTCCTATAGACGGCTTAATCTTTGATACATATGAATTGTATAAATTTAATCATAAATTGTTGGACTTCAACATTTAACACAGGTCTGTCTGCCTTAAAATAATTAGCAACAGAGCTGTATTTTAGCTGTTAAGAAACTTGTTGAAAATAAGTAGTTGGATACTTCTTTCAAAGGTGCAGAGCTACTTGTTACGAATGAAATCGTATAAAAATGACAGCTCCACCTGTTTGGTCTTCCTTCACGTAAGGTCCAGTTTCTAACCTTGGCGTTATTTTTCAGATGACTGAGAATAAGTTTTGCCTTGCTTAGTTGGTTTTCTTCTGGAAGTGCATCCCATTTAAAATATCGCATCGTGGCTTCCACGACTAGGCGAATCTGAAAAAAAAGTCGTTGAATTACATGAAAGTTGATGAATGCTAGGGAAGCTGCGCACTCGAAATCGGAACCTCTCGAGTGTTTTTACAATGGTCGTTCGACGGCGACCCCCAGGTTTGCACTTTTCTGTTGCCCGGTTTCATAAAAAAAAAAACTGTTCGGGATCGAATGACCTTCCCGGTTAGAGTGAACCGCCGAAAGACGAGATAAGTACATTACGGTAGACTACAACCTTCAATTCATGGTATATTTAAATCTTTCTGTAATCAAATAGGAGTTTGGCCCTAAGTTTTGGAAGTTGCTTGAACTTTTCTGCGATAAAAAAAGAGTCAGAAACTACAAACCTTCGGAAGCTGCCTACTGAGAAGATGAGAAGCAGTTTCTCCGTGAAAAGTACGGAGGCTGATTTGCACATTGCGCAGCTCCTCATCGGTCACTGACTCGCGAAGTATTTGCCATGCAAACACCTGAAATTCACTTTTTGGTATTGTATAAAAACACACTTTAATTTACATCGTACTCTGATTCAAATATCTCATTTCAATAAATAGTTCATACATTTTTTGCGAAGTGGCAATGAATAATTGCGTCCTCAAGATCTTTGTATTGTAGAGTCCCTGGTAGTTTCATTGTTGTTATTCTGTTTCAGGCACTTGTTGCTCTGGCCTGCACCCGGTTTTGAAACGCCGAGATTGTTACATAACAAAAAAGTTATGGTAAGAACTGGTTAGGGTGCATGGGCGAAAGCGCAAAACATGGAGAAGACTCTTCGATAATTCGTACCGATCGAGCATTTGAATTTAATAGAAGGACTTTAGGTTCTGTTTCGAAAAATCATTATGAGGAAACCTTCAAATGGGTATTGTTCAAATACCATTTCGACAATAGTAAAGGACGCGTATTGGATGTGCTAATGAATGAATAGCGATTGACATCTGAACGGGGTGTACGAATGTATATGAGTATATGGTAGTCCCAATGCCAGGACATAACTAGCTAGATTTTGGAAGCAACTAATTGCTTTTGGGGAGGTATCGAAGGCATGGAAATCGATAGGGTCTGGGAGCACGCGGTGTTCGTGGAGTATTATGCGACATTCATTTCCGGATCATAAAGCGATAGTCACCTAATAGTAGTAATTTTCGTCGTCATTCTCATGCTAAAGTTTCTTCAACTTCGTATCAGCTTCATTATTGTAGAATTTTGAAGTGAAGCGGAACATATGAGGACGACGAATATGACGAGGTAATGGTTTTGAGGATGCGCAATCAGCAGTGAAGGATAAGTACGCTCATACCAATGCGCGGCCCACCTCATACAAGTGTTTACGTTTCATATAGGCAGCAAGCGTGAGAATTCGACAAAAACTCATGGGAACGTTCGAAATCGAGACGAGTATCACTGTAATAAATCGTGAACTGAGCGCGATAACAAGGACATTATAGAAATAAGAAGAAATAAAGAAACCAAGTAGTTGCTCTTTTAAACGAATTGTCATTTTAAACCAAGACACGGAAAAAATTAGCCATTCTTGTGGCTGTTGTGGTGCCCACTAAACTTAGAACGGTCTCGCAGGGTGCCCACTAAACTTAGAACAGTCTCGCAGGAGTTCGGATAATTAGCTCCATTCGATGCACACTTTTCACATCACAAGTGATGTATTCCTATGCCATGAAGCGTTCGGGTTTGATATACGCTTACCAGAAAGGTGACGATACATTGATTTTCTGGCACTATGCGGCAATATGTTATTTAGTTTGGAGAATTTCCGGTCATCAAAGTTAGTTTTGTTTGCCATCCTTCTAAATATTGGGTGCACACCAGTTTTGCACGCACAAGAGCGCTGTTTGTGACTTTGCTAACTGGTCGTGTCGTTGGGGAAACAAAAACAAAAAAACTGGGTAACATCGGTTTTTTTGTTTGCCAAGTTCTTAGAAAGTGGGCAAATGTATGGCAAAAATTTGCCTTTATTTCATTCAAAGGCACATTATAGTTTTCTATTGGAATTACTTGTTAGGGTTTACATACCACTGAACTGTGTTATGAAAAGCGTGCAAAAACATTTGCATTGGAAAACTGTGTTTCGAATGCTTGCAAAATAACGAGGTGCTCGAAAAATGGTCTTCTGCGTTCATTCCTTCATTCATTCATTCTTTCGTTAATCTACGATTACGAAGGACAATCGGTCGTTCCGTCGTTCGGTTAAGTGCATTCATTGGTTGTTGTAGAAGATTGCCGAATGTCAAATGAGCACCAATAACGAAATGCTCTTCATCAATACACAAAAATTGGAAGTCGAGAAATGGTAGCACATTGTAAGCTTTGTTCATGCTCTCAACAGTAAGCCAAGTATAGTCATTTGGAATATCTGACGGGAATAAAACAGATATATTTCATGGGCAATGCTGTAAATCAGTAGACATACGGAATTATACTCTGAAAAAAGGACAAGATCAACAATCAGGTATCAGAAATGAGGGCTTCGGTGGTTAAACGTTTCTTTTCAAGGCAATAGTTAGGGCGACATTTATATCATAAGGAAACAATTGCTAGATCAAGCGTATTACAGACGCTTTCTTACCTTAGGTTGTGTGCTCTGGAAGCTTCGAGCAGCCTTTTCTGCAGCTCTTTTCACTGCCCCTTCAGGGAAAGGACCATCAGACAACTGCGATCTTTCATCGTTCTGAACGTCGAACTTGCTCTTCTATTCAAAAACCTAGAAGCGAACAGAACACAGCGAGGGTCACCTCTTTAGGTGCGCTGTCGCTTTGTTGATCCTGTTCGCAAAAATCTTCCTCAGCGTCATTTTCATTATCGCCTTCCATGTCGAGATCTTCATCTGAGTCATCTTTGCATTCCACCTGAATATCGTTCTCATGTTCTTAGCCGTCATTTGCGCTTTAAAAGCAGTAAAACCTTAGGAGATTTTGCTTTATCGGAAGTGGAATTTCGCCCCAGAGTTGTGAATGTTTGCGATGGAGTCTCAGATATAACTGTTTGTGGCAAAGAGGCGAATATACTTGTGAGTCTGTAAAAAAAATATCACGTCAATATAAATACTCATTTAGCGTACAAATGTAGTTTCATCGCTCCAATATCAAGTTATATGGCGAGTTAGAAAAAAACAGCTTATTGTTCAAGCAGCCCTGAGGCGATTGGCAATTTGCAGAAGTAAGATCTAAGATAGCGAACTCAGTTTTTTGAAATCGCTGGATGCAGGAAACGATACGCGCTGGAGATTACATGGATGAAGACAAACCGTTGATCAGGTAGCCTTGTAGCGAGTAATTCGAGTACAATGCTGAGCTTCAAGTCGATGTCATTGAGTCGTAAGTTTAGCCTACTGAGTAGAGATTTTGAGTCTGGATCAAGTGTGGCGACTGAGGGCACTTGAGCCATAGCGGTAGAGTTTTCAGACAGTTGTAGAAGGTGGTTGAGTCGCACCTGTATGCAGCAGCGGTCGCGGCGGCTGGCGCGTGCTATCGCGCCCGGCTTGTCTACTGCCATGATCCGCCCACCAAAGGTACTGTATCTATCATAACATCCTCGAACTTCGACGTAGTCACTTCTACACAGGTTGCTTATCGAGATTGATTTCAACCTTATTATTTCTATTATCTGCATCTTTACAAGAAGGACTTACATTTAATAAACAGCAAGCATAACCTAATCTGGTGCAGTATCCCCAAAAACGTAAAAGCACCTTGTTCCAATGAAGAATTCATAGTTTTCTTCTAAATGATTTCCCAAAAGAACACTTACGAATCGAAACTTTTACATTCGGCGTGCTCTCGCTTCCATGTTCGTTGTTTCTGCACGTCTTTCTAAAAGAACTATAGCGCACTATCCTATTTACCCGCGCAGAAAACCGTCCTCGCATGGGGGTTGATCCTATTTTATTCCATTACTGTCACTGTCTTGAAGCCAGCATCTATCCGTGTGGTCGCCGGATTCGTATGTGGGTTCAGTTTTGTCTTGAGGATTTGTAATTTGTAACTTCCCTTCATTTAGATATTGAGTGGTGTATTTTCACCTAATATTGCTGCTCACAGAAGGCTTCACCAGAGGCAGTTGCGGGTTCTTCTGAAATGGAGTTGATTTGCTGCCGTGCTACTATGATTCTGCAGCGATGCTAAGGGTTACTGTGATTGCCATAAATCCTACAATAAGCCAGTCTATGCTGAAGAGTGCTTAAAAGTCAAAAGCCTTCGAGTAATTTACCTTAGTCACTTGTAGACAGAGGTCTCCAAAGAAAAGATGAAACTTACAAAAAAATGGGTAGATATGCATTAAAGTGACGAGAAGGTCGCAGAAATAGTTTACGAACCAGGATTAGCGAGTTTATAACACAGGGATATTATGTTTTAACCAAGGTGATGCGAAAGAATAACATTTAAATGCTGCACAACAAAGAATTTCTACGCTAGCACCTACTTATCAGGATATTACGATTATTGCTGCAAATGAATCTCTGTGTACAATCAACCATTCGCTGTGAAAAATAAGAAACTTTGTGAATTTTAATGAATATGGGAAAAACGTTTCTTGTCTCTTGCTATGCAGCAAAATCTATGCATACCCTTGCATGCCGCGTTTAGTATGCGGGTGAAATCACTTCTGGGTAAGCTCCAATACTAACCAGTAGTAAAACATGAAGGTCAAAAATGGGTAACCCATAGATTACGATTGTGTTTGGATCTGTGAGAAAGCTATATTATAATCTTTCGCGGTGTGAAGCAAATTTTAGGAATAGTGGTATTTCTCCCCTTTATTACGTTCACTTCTTTTCACAATCTTTCTTCAATAGATCATTATCAGAGGAACAATCGAGAACTCCACGTACTGTAAACGTAGATTTGAGAGAAACATAGACTATTATTCACTATATCTTAACAGATCCATATTTCTATGAACACAAAAATAGCAACATTACATTAAGTTCTCAGAAATATTATTTGAGCCTCTGATCTCCATTGCTGACAGATCCTCATCGTGCTACTCACTAACACCGAATAGGCAGACGTGTGGTAAACACTGGTCAAAAGGCACATTGTTGTCATCTCACTGCGCTGCTTGGACTACTGAATAAGTCTTCTGATCGAACTATGCTGAACTAACATGTAAATTTTTGCATTTGTACACATATAGGCGTACACATAAGCACATGGTGGTTGTCTATATGTGGATTGGATGTCACATGAACTGCCACAGGAGTGGTTCGGTTCCCATATAACAAAGGAGCTTCCCTTCTACTTTGAGAAAACGCAGAAAATCACCTATGTGTGCACTCAGTCTCGGCTTTCCGACAAATACTACAGACATGAAGGGTCCCGGCTTTCCGACAAATACTACAGACATCTCTTTATTCTCACAGGAATCATTGAGCGATAGCGTTGGGTGCAAGGAGCACGGAGAGGTTCCTAAAACCTCAGGGCCATCTTTGAAAGTCTAAACCTGAAAGGTCTACGACGGCGATCTGCATTTACAGCGAATGAGTTTATGTTGCAAGCTAAAAAGGTTAAGCACAGCGGCATCGAACTAGCCGACACGAAAAGAGCGTGTCCATTAACCACAGTCGACAGTATTGTAAATGAACTTCATCTTCGAACATGTGATAGTAGATCACAAAGCGACAGCGCACCTAAAGAGGTGACCCTCGTTGTGTTCTGTTCGCTTCTAGGTTTTTGAATAGAAGAGCAAGTTCGACTTTCAGAACGATGAAAGATCGCAGTTGTCTGATGGTCCTTTCCCTGAAGGGGCAGTGAAAAGAGCTGCAGAAAAGGCTGCTCGAAGCTTCCAGAGCACACAACCTAAGGTAAGAAAGCGTCTGTAATACGCTTGATCTAGCAATTGTTTCCTTATGATATAAATGTCGCCCTAACTATTGCCTTGAAAAGAAACGTTTAACCACCGAAGCCCTCATTTCTGATACCTGATTGTTGATCTTGTCCTTTTTTCAGAGTATAATTCCGTATGTCTACTGATTTACAGCATTGCCCATGAAATATATCTGTTTTATTCCCGTCAGATATTCCAAATGACTATACTTGGCTTACTGTTGAGAGCATGAACAAAGCTTACAATGTGCTACCATTTCTCGACTTCCAATTTTTTATGGATTTATGGCAATCGTAGTTTTTTCTTCAAAAATGACATAGCTTTTAAACTTTGATTAAATGAACACGTCTTCCTTCACCTTTCAAAGCTTTACTGCTTCATCGCGACTGGGAGGTGTGAGTTCCTAGCTGTCGGACTCCACTCCGATATACTGCGGGATGCTCAACGTTCCAGCAACGTGTTCCAAGCTGACAAAGAGTCCGTCGTTTCCATCCGCAATCCCGCTAGGAATAAACGAATTCCAGGAATCAATATCGTTCTGGCATCAAACTAGTCACACAGTGACAAAACTCTCTCTGATCCGCGAGGACGACGATTACATGGGGTGATGACGACATGAAGATGTCCTCAGCTAGGCTGACCTGCGAACTCTAGGAAGCCACATTGGCTAAACCAGTAAACCTTCGGCTTCTCACCGGAGGCTGCCATCTGCGACGTCGGGCTGTGAGACAATTGGTGAGAGTCGACAAAATCTCAGGTTGCACATGACATCATTGGAAAATGAGAAAACGAGCAGGCTACGACATGCCATAGACACTACTTCTTGCTGTTCACCTATAACATTGAGGCAGTCTCTTCAGGAGTTGATCTTTACTCTCTTTTTGAGGTCGCTGACTGCATACGTTTCCATATGATCTCCTTAGAAGCGACGAAAAGCAGGAAGACCGGCATACACCATTTAGACAACGGACCTTTTGTAATTCGTGGAAGGGAATTCTCACTACGAAACGTTGGAGGTGTTGTCTTTGCCTTATATACACCAATTTCACACTAAGTAGCCTGATGCGAAATCTTGCCATCGCGTTCGGCCGACTCTTCTTATTCGGCTTGTGCTTAAGAGAAAGTCGTTACTATCAACTGTTATTCAGCATTTTCGACAGCTGATGAGAGCCTGGACGCGGTCTACAACCAGTTAGAGGAAGCAACGAGAAGTATAAATCGTTACTGGAGACTTCAATCCAGATTGCGAATGGCTAACAAAAATGCTGAACCAATACAGGGCAGAAAAATTCGGAATAAGATAACGAAACGAGGATGGAAGCCGCCCTATTGGACCCCTGTCCTCAGTACATCTCCTCAATGGGAATTCATTTTTCGACAGAAGAGAAAATCGTAGTTGGGTATGGAATTCTCCCAAGGGCACGATTCTTGTGGTAATCGATCATTTTCTCATGAGCAGAAAATGGTGCCTCTTTGACATCTCAGAGGGACCTGGATTCGGTACTGAACCTAGTCAGCGCATTCTTTCTGCGAAGAATTAATTCAACCAGAAGCTGTAAAGAAACTCCTGTCATCGTCTAAGAGAAACGAAATAGGTTGTTTATGATAAGGACATTCTCAATGCAACCCTCTCCTCATATAACTAGTATATAAAGGAAAATTCGAGCGAGATCTACAAACTGCTTGTCGATGGACTTAAAAGTCGTGCTGAACTCGCCTCAGTTCCTCAAATACGAAGTTCAGACCGCATTCCCATTACCACTAATAAGTTGCTAAAAAAGAGAACGACGATAGAGTGTGATCCTATTGAACACACCTATTACGGCTATAATAAGTTTTCTCGGTTTTTGTTTCTTGTAAGGCCTCGAATTCTTTCGCAGGTGAGCGATTGTTTCCGGTGCACGATCCGGGATAAGAGGCTTAAAATACAGAGTGTTGGCCATGGTTCATTGTTTGTGACCAATTCGCGGCTCGTAGACGCCCATGGATGGCCTAACTGAAACTTTCAACAAGTCATCACCACAGTCGCCTGACCTTCTGGATCCAAGAAAGCTATGCTAAATTACAACTAGCTTGATGCTAGGAAGATGGTAATTCATGATTTTGGTTTCCTCTTAGCCGTGATTCCGATGGAAAGTGTAGAGCTCATTCTCAGCTTAAAAATCCTGATAGGTGATATAACGCCCACTGTACAGCCCAGTTCGACACCCCAGAGTCATGTTGAGACTTAGGAACATCGCAAAATCATGTAAAAAAAACATATTGTTTAGTAGTGCTACCAAGCTTAAATGGTTGTCGACTTTTAAAGCATTATGTCTGTTGATTGTACTACATGAGAATTTCGTCTTCTTTATGAATGTTGCATCAGTTCGTTCAGAAAAAATGAGTATTTTTAACTATATTGTTCAAAATGTTCCTCCCAACGGTTTACCGCCTCATCGTGGCTGGCAGGTGTTCCTGGGTGGCGGACTGCGATGTACTGCAGGGGATTCATCCCCTGGTAGGGTCTCCCAAGCTGAGAAAGAGTCCGGCGTTTCCATCAGGAAGCCTAGCTAAGAGTA